TCATAGCAATTACTCTTATGGCAGGGAACCTTAGGGAGTAACATTGAAGGACTTCCCACCTGATAGCTATGCTGTTGGGTGCCATGTTCTATCCTCCTATTTCTCCATTTCTATGAAACCACTCGGGATGGTCATCACGGCTTTTAAAGTTGATTGTCACTCATATGCAGAAGATACTCAGATGTGATAATGTCTCAGTAGGGGAAACTGTTCACATCCCTGAACCAATGTCTGACTTCAGTGATAGAATGGATGGGAACTATTAAACAGAGGCTGGATCTCACTAAATATAATATATTGCAAATATAATGGGAGATTATCTATAAAAATATGTGTGTGTGTGTGAGAGAGAGAGAGTGTGTGTGTGTGTTCCAGCATAACTCTGGAACGGCTCGAGCAATTTCAACCAAACTTGGTACATAGATGACTTATTCTCTGGAAACAAATATGTGGGGGTGACACCCCTAACATTCCTCAGTGTGTGTATTCTGTTAAGATACAGCCTGTTGTGTCTTAAATGGCTTCTATTGTACTGCTGTAAAATGGCTTCTATTGTGTAGCGCAGTGGAGTTGCCATGATAACAGCTTCACAGCACTCCACAAGGGGGTCCTCTGGTAAGGAGGAAAATCCAACATTAGAAACTATGTTTGGTCCGGACATTTTCCCCCTATAAATAAATACCCGCACAATACCGGGTTCTGCTTATACTAGTTTGTTATAAATAGGATTGCGTGCTTTCTGAAAAAAATAGTACTGCATTTACAGGTACTCTTATCTCTTACTTTACAATTTTCTTTTTTGTTATAAAAAGTACCTTGTATCTAAAAATAGGTTACATGACCTTCAACTAAGGTCCTTCAATTGCCCCTGGTATATCTTGGACACATTCATCACATTTTCTTGGCAAGAGTATGGAAACTGTGTGTGCCATTGCATTCCAGAATGTTTTTGGCTTCTTCACTTTAATTTCTACTTAAGGTCATTTCTATATTTTTACATAAGGTCATTTACATAAAGTATTTGTGGCATTTCCTTGCAGAGATACCTTCTGGTGGAATACAATTGCATTAGGACTCACAATAAAAGCAGACAATAGTTTTGGTGCAAAAGAATGTAGGACGCGGTGATTACGGTGGCTGATTCTACAAAAGAGTTCCAATGAGTTCAACTTGCCCTTCAGTAATTCTATTATTGGAACAAAATTGAAAGGTTTGAGCCCCTGTTAGAAAGCCACTCTATTTATCCATGAGTGTATTTGAAACATTGGTCATTTTGCATGATTGTGCTATAATAACCATAGCTTGTTAAACAACACACAAAGCTCAATCGACATGCCAAATTGAACCAAACCAAAGAAATATGCTGCAGCTTAGCCGGTTGATTAGATCCAATCACTGCTGTTTGCAAATTGTGGATTAGGGCTTTATGTGTTTCAAATGCTGTATTAGTCCAGATTGGTTTTTTTCCATATATGTTTTTTTTAATTGGTATTAGATTTTGTATGCTATCCAGAGTTTGCTGGAGTGGACAGATGTATTTAATGAAAAAATATTATGCAATCTCAGGTGGCGATGATTTGGTAACCATGGCTAAACAAATTGAGCCTTAACATGAAAGCAAACAATTATAGGCATTGTACAAATCAATAAACTGAAATTAAGCAAACAACATTACTGTAAATCTCATTAGATAACCAATGGAGCTGGCTGAGCTTAGGCTGGGTTATAAGTATATTATTCTTACGCCATTAGATTGATAACATCACTTTTACAGAATTGTGACAATAATATATTGTATGTACAGAATTGTGACAATAATATATTGTATGTACAGAATTGTGACAATAATATATTGTATGTAAGGTGGATTAGACAAATTTATTCTAGGTAAACTTATTCATAGCTACAGTAGATAGTAGCAGCTAAAAAAGAACTCCCCGATACTTGAGCAACATGACAATTAGAGAAAGAATGAAAGAGAGTTGAAGGCTGTTCTCTTCGAACCCTGCTTCATTGGAACATCTGGAAAATCACAATGAAGAACAGAATGTTGGACCACACATTCAGACTTCTTATATTATTACCAAATTACACTTGCATCTGACTGTTACATAGAAATGCTTTTTACCAGCGAAGATCTTCTTCTGTACTCAGTACTTCTTCTTTACCTGAAATTTCTAGAAAAAGGAAAAGTTACATTAGATTTGTAAATAGAGTCCTGGAATCTCATTTTGTTCCAAAGACTGTCTTTCTCCCCTTAAATTGTAGGGCGGATATCAGAATATGTAAATTAATAATGTCTGCAATGAGTAAGAAGTTATGGCTCTTGTAGCAAAAGGCAGGGAACTACAGTACCTTGCAACCCAAAAGTGCTTTCTTTCAGCACCTTTGGGACAAACATGGCCTGGATGATGAAGAATCTTCATAGACACTTGTTGCAACTAATCTTTCAATTAATTATACTAATGGTAGCACAATGTAGGGTTTTTTCTCCTCTCCAAGCTATCTAGCTGGGTAAGGAAGTCTTTCCCCCCTCCATTAAGACTAAAGCTTAATAGAGGCGAGGTTTAAATAACTGTGACAAACTGTTACAAATGTTCTTTCTCAAATATTATTCAATAATGTGATTTCTAAGTTTCTTACCTGCTTTTTGCAAAGTCTTTTCAATTAGACCAGCTAGTTCAGGCTTCAGTGCATGACCACCGAGTCTGACATTCTTACATCTGTGAAGATCAGGGGTTTCTGCAACTCGGTGGGTGCCTGGGGATAGCTTAGTTGCAAAAGTCACACCTTGGAGTCGTTTCCTGTGTGCTACAGCTATAGCCTTTGGCATCTTTTGATTCTTCATGTTAACTGATCATGGAAAATAATGAAGTCCTGTTTAAGTTATGTATTTCCTTAATCTGCCTTGAAAACATGTGGCTTTTATTCACACTGAATTGTTGCAGTTTCTATGACATCACAAAAGAGACTGAAACAATTGCCACAGTCACCAACATTGCTCAGCTTGAAGATTCTTCTAAATCCGGTATGTACTCAATTTAGGATTTTACTTTAGATTTCAAAATTTGAGGCAGCTTTTAAAAATATAGTTGGTATGATATAGTGATTCAGGAAGTGAGTATTACTCATTTTTAATGACAAAGAACTTTTAGCATTCAATTAAATACGTATCATTGCTAACCAGAGGTGGGTTGCTGCCGTTTCAGCCCGGATCATCCGAACTGGTAGTAGTGGCAGAGGGAGGCTCTGCCCACCCACCTGGACATTTCTGCACATGCGCAGAAGCGTTGCGCACAGGAGAGCGTGCCCAAAGCGGTAGTAAAAATTGGCAACCCACCACTGTTGATAACTATCTCCAATACCATTACTGATTTTTAAAAATACAATGTAAACTCTCTACATAATTTGGGGCTTTGTCATTTAATTCCTTGACTTTTCCATTACTCTACAAAATACATTGTTCCGAATTCAGCTGCTGATACAGAAAGACTGTATTCCCTTTCTTTTTTTTAAAGGAGGAAATACTAGGAAAAAATGGAGAAAAAGGAAACAAAAGAAAACAAAAGATGCAAATAAACCCATTTCAGAAGATAAGTCAACTGGAAATAATGCAACAGAAAGGTTGAGAAGGAAACACACACTTTTTCCATTTCCAAAAAATTCTTCACATAACTACTTCTGTGATGTTAAACTACGAACATGTGTAGGTGAAATAGCGCTTTATTTTCGTATTCCTTTCTTATTTTTCAGGCACTTAACACTCTCACAATGGTAAGTAAGGTCAAGCTTTTTAATTAGGTAGATTTACCTAAGTAATTTTATACTGTACTCATTTTATCCAATGCAAAAATGGACTATCAAATAATTTAGTTGATTGTATGCCTTCAACTGTTTCACAGATTAAATTTAGTTAAATCTTCTATTGTATTAATCCTTCGCAGGGGGTGGGTGGGTTAAGATACTGGAAGCTGAACACTTAATTATTTACTTGATTACAGATATTCCTTGACCCAGGACTACAACTGGGACCAGAACTTCTGTTGCTAAGCAAAGCAGTTAAATGAATCTGGCAGTTATTAAGCGAATTCAGTTGCCCTCTTTGACTTTGCTTGTCGGGAGCCATCCGGGAAAGTTGCAAATGGTGATCGTTTGACCCAGGATGTTGTAACTGTTGTAAATACATGCCAGTTGCCAAGTGCCTCAATTTTTTTCATGTGGCGGTGGTGATGCTGTGAAGGCCAAAAGAGGACCAGTCATAAGTCACTTTTTTAGTATCTTGTAACTTTGCTAAATTGGTTGCAAGTTGAGAAGAACCTATATTTACAAGCATGACCCCTGATTCTTAAAATATATTATTTCATATTTTCTTCCTTATATTATTAAAGAATTAGAGTGGTGCAATGGCCTAGAGGTGGAGCTCTCGCCTCAGAATCAGGAGGCTGTGAGTTCAATCCTAGGTAAGAGGCAGATATTTCTCTCTTTGGGCACAATGAGACTATATCAGCTGCGAACTCCGCATTGGCAACAGGAAGGGCATTCAGCCAGTAAACAGCTCCATTCAGTTGCCCCGACTCCACCCCGATGCAAGGGATTACGAGGTCATTAAAAGACAAAAAAATTTTTTATTAAATAATTACTTCTGAACATTTTTAAAAAAAATTGGATTGTTTTGTTTATAACTGGGCCAATTAACACTAGATTTCATTGATAGCCAAAGCAATACTATTTCTCTGCTGCTCTATATGGTTTGAAAACAAAAGCAGGCTTTCTCCAAAGTGAATCAGAATTGATGGCTGTTAGTTGATTAATTGACTGGTCAAACAGATAAAGCCAATATCCCTTTGCAGTGCAAACTCTTTGATGAAATGTTGCTGTAGCCACTGTGTAATACCTAGCTGAAGAGTCAGCTTCCACCTTTTAAAGAGGTTGTCAATATTGAGTTTGTAATGAATACACATACGCTTTTCAGAAATAAAACACTTTTTAATTGGCAAATAGAACACACATTGCAGGTCATTAGTATTTTGTCAAAAGACTATTAAGTTACAAATAATTTTTTTAAAAAAAACTGGCAGTTTTGAGCACACGGTGCTGTTTTTCCCTAGCACTTCTGTTGGCAATTGGTAGGTTATAAATTTTCACCTTGTATTTCCTAATGTAGCCCAATGCTAAGAACAAGAACCCTTCAAAATAGACGCTCCAAGAAAGATTTGTCCTTCTCTCCTTTGTATGGATTTGTCTATGTGGGGGTGGTTTTGCAGACATCACTTTTAATATTAGAATCTAAAGAAGCTTTGCGTCAACTTGAATGCTCATTTATTGTGGTCCAAGAGTAGTCTCAGGTAGCCTGTAACATACGTCACATTACTTTGACTTTTGTCAAAGCCCAACATGCAGTGAATCAGACTCTTAGAAAAGCTATGACATAACCAATCAGCTATATTGGGTTGGATCCAGAGAGTTAGGCATATCTAGGTTAACTGAAATATACAAGGCTTATGATGGTCATAACAAACGTCCTAGCTATCAGAGGAGCTTAAAGTGCAACTAACTTGATCTGGGTCCAAACCATTTTATAATTTTATAGCGCACATACACACACTCACATCAAACACCCCCCCCCCCAACAATATTTATTTGCATTCATGAGGTATGCTGCACATTCCCATTTCAACTATTCAGGGGAATCTGTGGAGAGGGGATGTTAAAAGGTCAATATTGTGATTGTGTGGTTGTCATCTTGATTTTTTTTAAAAAAAAAAAAATCTTATGCTCTGCATCTACTCATAACATATTAACGAAGTACAACTGTATGATAATGTGATGAAAACAACCCGAACTAAACATATCTTTCATTCTTGAAGCTCTTGAAATACTTCTTGTTTATATGCTTATACATAACAATCAGGTTGTGCGAGGAGAACAGGAAATTCGGCCTCATGCAACATTCAGTATAAAACTTCCATAACTTTCTGTTAAGATCTCTTTACTGATATCTTGCTGCTAACACCTTATCTTGCAACTTTAAGGGAGCATGAAGAGTTAATATTACATTATAGCTTTGCCTTCTTGTCTGTTTCATATGGAATGTTTTCCTACATCAATAATACTTCTATGTAGGTTGTGCAAACCATCTTGTAAAAAATCTTTGTCTCTATTCCTTGCTGAAATGTTTTAGTATGTTGCCGTCAACCTCGCTAGAAAAGAAATAGGTTTTTGTATCAGAGACTATAGCCATTTTTCGCTTTCCAAATTCCCTGAGGAAAAACCTGGTGAGGTCACCTACAGTACTACTTATTAAGTCAACTTTTTACTGATTAATTTTATCTCCAATTTTATTGACATTATCATCATCAAATGTCATCAAAAAAGAAGTGTGTGCTCACTTCACTCATTGAGAAATTGCTTACAGTTGATTTTATTTCTTACATGGAAATATTACAGATGTAAGAAATGTATTGCATTTGAAATGGCCCTTAAATAGTAGAAAATCATTAATTCTGATAATCAAACCATTGTTTTTGCAACTACTCTATGAGCATTCTTTTAGTATACATAAGTTGTTTGAATACGTATTTATTCAGGTTTATAACATTTTAAGTTTATAGGAAAAAAATAGAAATTGATTGCCTTTGTGGAAACAATTTTGTATCAAAAAAATCCAGGGAGTACCATTAAATAGTAGACTTTGTTTTTAGAAGCCAGTTCTTCTTAAACCAATAATATGCTGCTAATGCTAACAAAATACCCTGTTGTTCAGTCTTCTTAGGGTCAAGGCAAGCTCCAGTGAGGGGAAATTACATCTATAACCAACTGGGCTTTGCTTCATTAAAAAGCAAATTCTGCAAAGCTTTTCCTAATTGCTCTGTGGCATAATGCAAAGTAGCCCCTAGTCAGCCATCAAAAATTAGAAATCTAGAAAAAGGCTCTCAGCCATGTAAAAGGAGTGTGGAAGTTGTCAATATGAAGTCCACAGGCTTTGATCATTGAACTGATCGGTAGATTCCAAGAAACCAGAGCAACACTTTTAAAAATGCAGAACACATATGATGAAAACCACCTAGAAGGCAGAGTTCCTTCATTAAGGAACACCAGATCTGGTTAACACCAGATGAATAAAGTGCATAGCAACAATTGTAATAGTTCTTGGAGAGAGAGAAAACACTGAGCAAGCCTCAACAAGCTTGTCATTTGATATGTACATCTTGCTACAGGTGGCTTTTCTCTTTCTTCAGTCCTTCAGCTACACCATCTAATAACTTTCTTCAAACTTCAAATGGAATGAGCTGAGATTTCTGACTATTGCCTTATGTAACTTTGAAAGCTCTTGTCACCAATGGGATGTTCCCTAGAAAGTGAAAAGGAAGAGGAAAAAGATGAAAGAAAGACCGGCACGTTTATTCTTCATTTTCAGATTAAAAAGAAAAATCCTCCACAAAAATATATTACTTGAAAATTTTGGTACAAATGGTAGGATATTATTGTGAGATGGACATGCCTATACAGTGCATAATTTTATATGATGATTTAAAGATATAAAAATGCATAATGGAAACCCATGGAATATATATAGACATCTTTGTAACCAACATAGATTGTATAGGTTGAAAATGCAGAGATTTAGGGAATAATTACATGATTATCTGAATTAAGATTAGGCAAAATTAGGCTGTAAAGAAAGAACGAGAAAAGACACAGAGTATGTGATTTGCCTGCATAGGAGATGCCTTATTACATTAAAGAACTATGTTGATAGGAAGACTATGTTAGAAAATGACAGTGGCTGTTCTTGTAGTGAATGAGTGAAATGAATAGCTTTGGTTTGAAACAGGCCATTAATCCATCTAACTGAATATGCTGTAAATAAAATACCAGCATCTTCTGGTATTTGGCAACCTTCTCCAGAACAAAATAGCCTGCTATTTCACTGTTTGTCTAGTTTCCTCTGTAAATATCATGAAGTATTGCAAGAGAAAGGGGGGGGGGATTGCCCAAGAGTGTGATTTTTATTGCAATATTGCTATGGATATTTACTTTGACAGAATTACTGCTGGGCATAAGAGTAAATTTATACCTTGTAACTTTCAAGGATTTCAGGTAGGAATCTTTGCCAGCCATGCCTGGAACTACCAATAGAAGTGAATACTTTGTTTCCCTGAGAATATGACCACCCAGAAAGTAAACCCTAGCAATGTAATGTAATTAATGTAATGTAATGTAATGCTAGGGAGTTTCAGAAAAACATCTTTCTGCTTCATCGACTATGCAAAAGCCTTTGATTGTATGGATCACAACAAATTGTGGCAAGTTCTTAAAGAGATGGGCGTACCAGACCACCTTATTTGTCTCTTGTTGCACTTTATGAGCAACAACTCAACAAAGGCAACAAATCTATCTATTGCAGGCCATTAGCAAACTGAAACTTAACCAACATTCCTTGTTTCAACAGGGAGCCAACTGCTGTTTCAATAGTGCTTGAGAGCATCCCATACTTACTGGCTTCCGTATTTTGTCTTCTTGAACTTATCCCTCTTATACTGGGCGTGTTCCTGTTCTAAGGTTTTAATATTTGCTATAATCTGTTTTAGTGTCTTATAGGTCTCTTGAGGATCATCAATGACAAAAGTTGAATATTCTTCTTGCTCTGGCCCATCATACACTGATCTGCTGCCACAAGCCTCTATCAAAAGAGATTTCAAAAAAGGAAGATTGATAACTTGTGAGGCTAATAAGGATTACACATGATCAGGATTCAGTTAATGCTGTATCCTGGGAATGACAAGACAATCTTAAGAATAAAATTGAATAAGAGATAATACATCAGAGTAGTTTGACCATACAAAGAAACCCTGTAAGATCAAGTTTTCATTTGACAATCTAGAGGGAGTCAACTTTAAAAGCTTCCAAGCTGGGCATGGAGATAACAGTATTCATAAAGAGACTGCTAATGAGTTTTTATTGACAGTAGCAAGTTGCCTTCCATTACTGATATTAGCTAAAGATTTATTTTACAAGGTATTTGTCCTTTTTATGATCTTCTTATAACACATACACAATACAGTATATATTTCTCTGCTTTTAAAGCTACCTAAGCTGATGGCCATTAATATGAATTCCTGCAGTCTATATCAGCCTTCCTCAACCTGCTGCCCTCTTGTAGGTATTCTGGGAGTTCAAGTCCCACACATTTTGAGGCCATCAGATAGGAGAAAACTGTTTTGTAGGTGGCTTAGATGGAAAACTATGTGTTGCAAAAGCATATATTACTGTAAAATGTGCAACATGCAATCTAGAATACTGTAGCATCCTATATGTACTTTTACATAGCTGAATTATGGCTTACTTGGGGAAGGAAGGTCTTTATCCCACTATTATACTAGAGTTTTTGTTATTCACCTTGTGTGACCTCACCAATACCTCCATTTGGCTAAATTAAAATCTCATAATTTACATTTATAACCTCTTTACCAAATTATAATCTCTTTATCAAATAAGAGATGTGAAGATTCTTTGTTTTAGAACGGGACTGCAAAATGAAAAGCTGTGAGGTTTCATTCTTTCGATAATGGACCTGATCTGCACTGAGGGTAAAACTTCTACCGATTGGAATGGGACAACTTGCCGCAGCCAACTTGCCACTGCCAACTCACCATGGCCAACTTGCCGCAGGACAACTCATTGTGGCACAATTCAATTTAATTATTTAAAATAATTAAAAATTATTTTAATTTTTGTCATTCATATTTCAATTGGTCTCTCCTTTCTTTAATGATTCTATTCCACCATTTCTTCATTATTAGTGTAATTGTTGTGAGTTGGCCACGGCAAGTTGTCTGTGGTGAGTTTGCCATGGTGAGTAGTTGTAGACCCTCCACCGATAGTAGTAGAAGTTATCTTCCCAGTACAAATGGTAGCCACTGTGAAAGGAATGGGTGCAGTCAGAGTGGGGGATCCTGGGCTATTATTTCAAAAATTCTGTCTTGAAGAACCTGATTGATAGCCCCACTCTCTCTGCAATTGTAATTTAAAAATAAGAAAACATTTGGGCAAAAGCTACTCAGATGATTAACTTCCAATCTAATATTGCCATAAGAAAAAAAATACAAGTCCCTAAACACAAAGATCTAAAAGTGTCTTTAGAGGTGGCCCCAGGATCCAGTGTGATCATTAAAATAATGGGGGGGGGGAGACTTTGTGTGCAATGTCACAATGCCTGTACAAAAGCAGCAGAGCTTGTGTCGTTTTGGTACAAAACTATTTTCCTCATTTGATCTCCTTGCCCTCCTTTCCCCATTTTGTAAAGAAAGCGACTTACTCAGAATTGGAGAGTAAAGAGAAAGAGAGAAAAGGCTCAGAAATGAAAGAAAAGTCCACTGTTTTTCAAGAAGTCTCTTAAAATTAAATATTTATTTAAAATGAGTTCTATAAACAAAACAATAACTCATTTCCATACCCACCTTGCATTTTCTCCAGTTTGGTCATATATAGATTGAATAGGGAGTAGATGCGTTCTGATTCTCTATCCCCATCGATGTCTAATTGTATATTTGCTGGTAGACCCCTACACAATCATTTAAATATTGTCAGGAACTTTTTGAAACACTGTATTTCATTCATGGGTTGAAATGGGTTTTGATGAAGAGAACAAGATTCCACAATAAAATCATTTTCATTACAGATTGATAACACATTTTAATAAACTGTTAATATAGTGATGTATGAGACAAACAAAGTCTAAGGAACAAAATAATGGAAGGAGGAGACATTGCAAACAAGAACCATAACATTTGCATAAAGGAAAGAAAGCATTCTACTGCCTGCAGTGCATTTCAGCCAATCAGGCTGAGGTTATTAAATGCGTGAGTAAAAAGCAAAATCTTCACCTGGCTATCTATCTATCTATCTATCTATCTATCTATCTATCTATCTATCTATCTATCTATCTATCTATCTATCTATCTATCCGTATCCGTATCCGTATCCGTATCCGTATCCGTATCCGTATCCGTATCCGTATCCGTATCCATCCATCCATCCATCCATCCATCCATCCATCCATCCATCATTATGCATCCATCCTTCATCATCCATCAATTTTTTGAAACTGCCCATCTCCCTCACAGAGGGATTCTGGACAGTATACAAGTAAAAAATATATTAAAACATAAAAACAGTTTGTGAAATTTACAATTTAAAAAGGGAAGAACGGATTAAAAATTAATATTAAAATATTAAAAGAATGCATCTTCTAAGCCTGTCTCATATTGAAAAAGTTACTAGGCTTCTAGAAGGAAAACCAGATAGAGAAGAAAAACTAGGGAGTGTTTAATTCATGTTATCAGACCTGCCTGTTTATCCAGAGCATCAGATCTCACTCTTTCATCATCCACAGGGATACGTCTTATCATCAAATATTTAAAGCAAAATTTAAAGCAGGCAGAGTCCTTACCCAGTGCAAGGAGTACAACCAGGAGCATTATCTGCTATAGATTTGCAGCACAACCAGTGCCCATTTAGATACGCAGAAGGATGGTAGACAGTGAGCCGTTTCTTGTTACACTGGCTAACTTTGGTGAGGATATCAATCCAGTCCTTGGCCTCAACACAATTATTGGCCTGAATATAGAGCACTCTTTCAGGCTGAATCACTTGGAACATCTTAAAGGGAGAGAGACAAAAACAACTGATCATTAACAGGGAACAATACTTAAAATGTAATGTTTTAGAAAAAAACTTTTAGGAATATGTATGTTTATCATTGGGTTGCTTAGTGGCTAGTTCTCACTCACACGGTGGCCTTGCATCCTTTGATATGAATTGTGTAGCAATTGGCAGACTATAAATTATATTACAAGATACACATACACATACACACAATAGACTGGTCTGAGAAACAGTGACCAACCAAAGTCATTCATGGCTAAGATGGGATTTGAACTCACAGTCTCCCAATTTCTACCATGGTGCCTTGACCACTAGACCAAACTGGTTCCTCCAAGAAACAAGTGTATGGTAGGGGGTTGTACTCTGGGGTGGGCTTCAAAATTTTTAGCAACGGGTTCTCTGCCTGGTTGCTGGGTGGGCATGGCCATGGTGGGCATGGCCTAGTCAACCTCCTATACCACGGTGGGGGGGGTGTTTTCCCTCTCTGCGCTCCGGAGGCTTTCCTTGAGCCTTCAGGGGGGGGAAATGACCTTCCCAGGCTCCAGAGGCCCTTCCTAAACTTCTTTCGCCTTCCCCAAGCCTCCACACCTGCCCTGCACTTACTTGCATCCAAAACGGTCCGTGTGGGGACTCCTGGAAAGAGCAGAGTGGGCAGGGCCAGCCAGGAGTGGGATTTGGGGGTTCTCTGAACTGCTCAGAATCTTAGCTAGAGGCTCTCCCGAACCCCTGCGAGCCCCCACCAGCCCACCTCTGGTGCTTAATAGTTAAGAAGGAGAAGTTCTTACATTTTTCATTTTGAAGGATTCTTCCTCCAACTTTTCTACAGCCAGAATGTTTTCAATTGGAATGCTACATAATGGATGATCACCTGAATGGGGGATAATTACAAGAAAAAAATGTTTCAAAACTCCCTGTATATACAAATATATGTATGTGTTCAGGTTAAAAGTGCATTATTCTGTAGCACTTAAATTATTAATCACCATTTGTGGGTTTGGGTTTTTTGACGAACTTTCTCCTGGAAAATAGTGTATTGATTTTTAAATTAAAAGGGAAACAAAACCTTTGTACCTTTGTTTTTCTGATAGGTAAATTCATGGTTGCTGAGCCGAAACCACCTCTTCTTGAAGTTCTTCATGCCAAATCTTTTCCTGCCTTGTGCCCTTTTGATCATAAACCTATTGTAAGAAAGTTCACAGCAGTTTTACATAAATACGTACTCAGCCTTGTCAGAAATTGTGCTCTTCTTATAAAGCGAGCAATCTTGGGAAATCTCTAAAGGCCAGGAAGCTCTGTACTACAGAAATCATGTTCAAACCATAATATAGCTGCATCCTCATCAAAAACTGCACATTTCAGTTAAGGAGGCACTAGAGAGATAACATGTTGATATTTCTTAAACTCAAATATGGATTTTTCTGAACTGCACATCTACCAGGAAAAGGCTTTTCTTTAAGGGAGCACCAACAAGTACAGCAAGTAGACCAACATCTGGTCTACTTTTTCTATTCTCATACACATTGATACATTCAGGAACTTGTGGCTGAATAGTCAAAGCCCTTAACCGAGATGCTTAATAAAAGAGGAAATATATTCTATGACAGAAAGCTGCAGCTAAGTGCCATCTGTCTTTACCATCTTATCTCCATGAAATATTATTATTAACTTTCCTTAAAGTTATTTAGCATCTTTAACACAGCAGGCCAAACAAAGACCAAAATAAAAAATAAAATAAAAAAAATCAGAGAACGAAAATACAGTTGCAGAAGTTCATTTTTTGTTAAAAAGGGAAGGTTAGAAAGTCAAATATGTGTCCTTTTTACAGGCAATAGCAATAATTTTTAAAAGAAAGCAATGAAGTTTGAGATGGCAGGTATATGTCATGGACCTAATTAAAATTAATTGCATTTAGAAAAAGGCATCCTTTTTAACCCCTAGCTAATTATGTTTCATGTTTTTGGTATTTGGGAAATATTTCTGATGGGGAAAAAAGATGGTGTTTTCAACAATAATCCAATCTTCTAAAAACTTACAGTAATTATTTGCACTTCTTTTCATTCAATTTTTTTTATTTTTTATTTTATTTCCGCACCCAAGCCTTTAACACATATTAGACAGCACAATATTTACACAGAACTTTATAGAACCCTGCTGGACCCATTATAAACAGAAGATGAAACATTTAATCTTACACACTTGGAAAAAAAAACACTGATGTAATAAGCTCACCCTTCTTTAAGTAGTATTGGTTGTTCTATAATTTTGTGATCTCTCCTTCCGGAGGATGAAATCAAATCTAAGAACTTGGAGCAAACAATGAATAGACATGAAATAAACATTTAACATGGATGTCATCTAATTCTTACTTGTTGGAGCAAGTAAGTTCAAGTTTTAAAACACCGATATATTGGCTAATAAGAAACAGAAAGGAATTAATTCATTCCTCATGTACAAATAACATATGTTAAATATCTTATGCTCAATCATATCGTGCGTATGCGTACATTATGTCTACTTCTTCTCCTGAGGCTTAATTTTGATATTTTATTGCAGTTGCGATTGATGTTGGTCTAATGCTTGCTTCTACATTCATTGGAGGATACCTAAATCAGTTTATTTTGACCTGTGCCCCTCAAAACATGTGGGAATCCACCTGTTATAAATTCCAGCCTATATAGTTTTTAATCTACATTGGTTTAGAATTAAAACAGTCCTGCAGTCCAACAGATATGGAGGGCAAAAATTAATTAAAAGTGAATGAAAAGCTTGAGCTTCTTGTCAATGAATTCTGTATAGGTGATGCAGACATTTTGATAAAGAGTATTGTCAAATATATTGTTCACAAATGTTTTACTAATCTAGTCATGGGTTGTAGGCAGTACGCCCCAGTACGGGCATACTGGAGCCTGCCCGGAGCATCGGATACTGTTCCGTTACAGTGCTCCGGAGGGCCCACCTATTTGCCCGAGCTCCTTACCTGTCCTTTAAGCCTGCGCGACACATCGCTGAGCAGCTGGAGTGTTGCGGAGGCTTGCGGAAGCGTCGCAGGCAAGTACGACGCAAGTGCGCACCGCACACGGCCATGTGGGAGACCCTAGGCCCGTTCCAACCGTACCGGTTGGAATGGGATCCGAAACCCACCATTGTACTAATCCATATAGCAGATGGCTGATCAGCACGGGAAGGAAAAGGGAAAAAAACAACATCTAGACAACCTTCCCTATTCCAATGTTCCCCAGAGATATTGGGAGCATAATCTTTAATATATTTCAATGGTGGATAGATGGTTGTTAATTCTGTATTTTATAGCCCCAGTAAATCTAGAAGTAACAGAAAGTTGGTATATAGTCTATAAAGGTTTTTTTTTTATAGCTAAGCTACTGAAATATGAAAAAACCATCCTACCCTTCCTGAACTATCTGAGAATGGTCAAAATGATGACTCTATGGCACTATTTCATACGGTTTATTACAAATCGAAAAATATCTATTGAAGAAAACTTTAAATCAATATTCAGTGGCCAAAAGATTTATTTCCAATATTTCCCCATATTTCCCATTATTATTTTTGCTTCTAATTAATTATTTAAAATAGACATGCATGTAATTCAGTGTTCATAAAATATTGTCATTCATAAATTCAAAAAACATTGATTTTAAAATTAATTAAATAATAAGTAATAATTTATGGAACTGGCTGGTATTCCCCCAAAGTGCAGAAAATATTGTTTTTAATACTTACATTTTTTACTGCATCTGCATATTTTTGCTCATTAAAGTAGTCATAAAATGTAGCCATATATGATTCCTTGAAACTGGCCTGAAATAAAATCACCATTTTGATTGTGAAAC